AATCACGGGCCTCGTTGACCTTGTACTGCAATCATTTAACAATTACACTTACTGACCTACAACTGGCTCGAGAGACAGATGTTGTTAATTAGTATAAAAGAATTGTGCAGGTCACTACCTTTATAGAATCGCTCGTGTTTCACGAACCACAGTTTAAAACACATTTATTTCACATCGTCGACAGCGAGAGGAGGAGGTGGTTCTGGAAACCTCGACAAGGGTTGCGTCAAATCCTTGTGCAATAATCCAACTAAGTAATGTTAACGAAATAATGTGCAAGCTTTAATCTTCTCCCGCTACGTTTATTGTGTCACGGACAAACTACGGGCAAATTAAATGTCTCGACACGTGTATAAACCTCTTTATACACATCAATCTGTTGATTGTTTACACGCTGGGTGCTGTACACGGTTATTCCCGTCTTCATTTTTCTTTATGCTATGACCTGTGATAATGCACGAGTTTATGCTATCACACAATCAGTCCGTCTTTTGTTTTACGAAGTATTTTACTGAATTTATCATTTCCTTTGTTTTAGTTTCACGTGTAGCCGAAGACGTTCACGAACAAAACGTTTTGTCATAACTTTGTTTCTACGCATTACCATTTGTTTACTTAGATAGCACATGCCAGTATTCATTTTTTTTTGCAGAAAGGGAGGTATACGGAACTTCGCAAGCGAAGTTCGTCACAACTGGTAATACTGGCCTCTCCGAAAACATCGACTGAAAAGAAACAATAATGTACTTCTCTAACTTCACTGTTGTACTCTGTATTCGAGTGGTTCACAAAATTTTATTTGTGATGTTTATATAATGTTACAACTATAAAATATTAAGAACATTCGAAAATCTGGAGAGATATTTTGGATTGAGAGTTGGGCATGGTGGGCAGATATTTTTGGAGCAAATACAACACAGTACTTTGACACGTTCCCCACACTTGTCATTACTTAAATTTCTAACGTACGTCAGTAGCAAACCTCATGAAAATTTTCCGTCCTACTGGAGGTTGGGGGGGGGGGGGGGG